GATCGCACGTGTGGCCGTCGAGGCAGCGAGGCAGTGGCGGGCACGTGCGTGTCTGGAGGTGGCTGGTCGGGGGCGAAAGTGGTATGATGCGCCACCCGACCCAGCCAGAGATCTGGACGTGCGTCCTCCCGCATAGACTCCATAGACTCCTCCTCCTCCTCCTCCTCCTCCTCCTCCTCCTCCTCCTCCTCCTCCTCCTCCTCCTCCTCCTCCTCGTCCCCCCTCCTCCCCCCTCGTCCTCCTCCTCCTCCTCCTCCTCCTCCTCGTCCTCAGCTCCCTCCTCCCGTTCTCCTCCTCCTCCCCTCCTCATCCTCCCCTCCCACTCCTCATCATCCTCCTCCTTCTCCTCCTCCTCCTCCTCCTCCTCTCCGCCTCCTCCGCCTCCTGCCCTCCTCCTCCTCCTCCTCCTCTTCCTCCTCCTCCTCCTCCCTCCTCCTCCTCCTCTCCTCCTCCTCCTCCTCCTCCCCCGTTCCTCCCCCAACTCCTATACCTCCAACTCCTCCTCCTCCCCTTTCTCCTCCTCCTCTCCTCCTCCTCCTCTCCTCGCTCCCTCCTCCTCCTCCTCCTCCTCCTCCTCCTCGTTCTCCTCCTCCTCTCCTCCTCTCCTCCCTCCCTCTCCTCCTCCTCCTCCTCTTACCTTCTCCTCCCTCCTCATCCTCCTCATCCTCCTTCCCGTTCTCCCCCTCCTCCCCCATCCCCCTCCTCCTCCTCCTCCTCCTCCATCCTCCTCCTCCTCCTCCTCCTCCTCCTCCTCCTCCCTCCTACCCCCTTCCTACCTCCTCCTGGCCCCTCCCCGCCTCCTCCTCCTCCTCCTCCTCCTCCTCCTCCTCCGTTTCCTCCTCCTCCTCCTCCTCAGCCACCTTCTCCGCCACGTCTTCATTGACCTCCGACGTCTTATCACGCATCCCGTCACCCTCGAGGGCCGAGGTATCCAGGGTCGGCGGCACTGGCCGTAAGGCCTTAGTAATATACCGAAGGGGCCCGGGGGCACACAAGTATAAGTAGACACCAAGCCCAGGATACCCCCCCCACACACACACACACACACACACACACACACACACACACACACACACACACACACACACACACACACACACACACACACACACACACACACACTTCCCATATTTTCCTATATTTTCCTGGGAGTCGACGATTCATTGTGTCTGTGTATTTCCCCCTCCTGATGTACGTTCAAGGGTCCGCGCGGGATTCTGGGATCGGCCCAGGACCCCCCCCTCTCCCCGGGAGGCGCCGCCACCGCCCGGGGGGGCACAGCGCCGATCCAGGAGATGACCGCGGACCACCGACAAACTTGTGCCTTGCTGGCACCCTTTCTTATCACTCTTATTCGTCGTCATACTCTTGTTACTAGCCGGCCGCTCTGCGCTTGATCGGGAGTTTCTGTATACAGGACAAGGGAGCGTGCGCTTGTGGGCGAGAGGTGAATGAGCTGCAAGCGGCGGTGCGACGGGTGAGGATGAGGAGGGTGAGGATCAGGAGGGCGAGGCCCGCAAGGGGGAGCATCAGGAGATTGAGGGTCACGCGGGGGAGGATCAGGCGAGCGTGGAGCAGGCAGGAAGGTGAGGATGTGGAGAATGAGGTCCAGGAGAGCGAGGTCGAGGAGAAAGAAGATCAGCAGGGCGAGGATCCGGCGAGTGTGCAGGAAAGGAAGGATTTGCAGAGTGAGGATCGGCAGAGTGAGCATCACGAGGGGAGCGAGGACGAGGATTATGAGAATAAGCATGAGGAGAGCGAGGATCAGGATCGTGAGGCAGGAGGGTGAGGGTGAGGAGAGCGAGAATTAGGAGAGTGAGGATCATGGGGGTGAGGATCAAAGCGGGGAGGGCCAGGAGGGTAGTGACCAGAAGGGTGAAGATCATGAGGGCGGGATGAGGGCAGCCAGGACCAGGAAGGTGGGGAAGAAGCATCAAGACGTCAATGACGACGAGGACCCAACACACGCGTACGACGACTGCGAGACAGCAGGCAGAGAAGATGGCAAGGCGCGTCGGATTGGAACACGCCCGGCGCGCCCTGTGCATCCCCGGGAATGGTCCCGTGGGGGCGCGCCGGGGGCCGAGGGGCGATTTGTGCGAGGATGCCTCGCCCGGCGCGCCCGGTGCATCCCCGGATGGGATCCCTGGGGCCCCCTGGGCGCGCCGGAGGCCCGTGAGAGAATTGCTGCAGGGATGCCTCGAGCGAGACCGCCGGATTGGGACACGCCCGGCGCGCCTGGTGCATCCCCAGGCAGGAGCCCCATGAGGTGTGCCGGGAGGCGACATTCTCGCGCGCTGGGGGTCAGGATGACGCGAGTTCCACGGAGATGCCCTCAAAATAGTGTGGTGCTTCTTTATAGCTGCTGCAATTTTCATCTTCCCCTGAGACGCGACGTCGCGAACAAGACATCATAACACAATTCACCGTCAGAGCCCTGGGCCCATCTTCCTGCAGCATTTCTCGAGCCAGATCGACCCGGGAGGGCCCCGTGGCCCGAGAAGCCCAGCCGAGAACGCCCTGTGTGAGAGAGAGCTGCGGCGCCCGAGTCCGAAAGGCCCCCAGGCCGGCCCAGGCCTCCCAATCTACTCGAGCAGGGGATCGACTACAGAGTTCATTTGCGCCAGAATGTATTTTTCTTTCCGGATCCACGGGCAATTCGTAGAACGCTCGCAGATCTACGAATGGCTGACGCATTTTTGCCGAAGAGTCGACGTGAAAATCAATTTCGGGGTAAACCAATTCTGTAGTCGATCCCCCGGTCAAATTACAAAAAGCAGAAAATCGCCGAAACCTTTTCGCCCCGTGCTTCTTCAGATGTCAGGGTCGATGCTCGCGCATCGCGCCCCGCGATGCGCCATCGCCTTCGCGCCCTCGCGCCCTCGTGCCGCCGCCTCTGAGAAGGGCAGTCGCTCTGGCCGAGACCGCGGCGAGAGATGCGCGATCACCTTCCCAGACATGCGGCGCCCGAACTTTTTTCCAGACATGGCACCCAGAAGCCTGGAGCCTTTCCCGAGGACTGGTTGTTGATCCCGAGTCGTTTTTGATGGTCCCAGGGCCTGGCGAGGGTCCCCAGAGTCCGACTGTTTATAAAAGCCTACGTCGTGATGCTGCCAGGACTTTGCATGTCTGGGTTCGCGCCCTCGAAGAGAACCTTTTGCTCTCCTCTCTCGGTCTGCAGGGCACCTCTCGCAGCACCCGACCACCTGGCGAACGCACCGCTGACCTCCACGCCGCGCTCGGCCGCGCTGGCGGCCTGCGCGGGCGGGAAGCAGGTCCGTGTCCACGGCGTCGCGGGCCAGGCCCCCTGGGCCGCGGCCCGGTGAATCCGGAGAGCTTCTTCGCGAATGCCCCGCGCAGAGCGTATCCTTGCGACTGCGAGCCCTTGGATACCAAAACCTCTGGAATTGCAACGCCGAGGTCTGAGGGTATCCAAAGGGATCGCGTCCTGGAACTCAGACCCCAGACATTCAGCGTTCCCTTTGTGTTCGCTGCGTGACCCCTGGAGGCCTGGACCACTTCCCTCGAAGGCTGGTGTTTCATCCTGAGTCGTTCCTTGACGGTCCTGGGCCCGGCGAGGGCCCGGGGAGGCTGAAAACTATGAAAAACCTCCGTCTCGATTCTGACGAGACGCCAAAAAAGGGGAAACTAAAAGCTACCGATACCGCTACTCCTGGACCTCTCCCGTGGAGCTCTCAGGATTTCGAGGCGAACCCAGCCGTGGCGACCAAGGCCTCCCAAGAGGCTCAGGAAGGGGAAAACGAGGAAGGGTAATGGGTCCCTTCCCTGAGATCCGACTAGAAGTGCGACATCGTAAAGAATCACGCCCCGAGCCCTGCACCCCACCTTTCTGCGTCATGTTTTGAGCTGGATCGATCTGCGAGGGTCCCCAGGCCCGAAAAAACGCAATCACGGCACAAACAACCTGCAACGCCTGAATCTACTAGGGCGTGCGGGTGACCTAACAAGTCGAATGTGGAGTTATAAAGAGTTTATCATAAGTCGACTTGGCGACGTAGGTAACTTATAAGTCCCATGGTGGAATGTACTAAGTCTCAAACAAGCTAGGTGCGTTGTCCGTCGGGATGGTACGTTTTCCGTCGGGATGGTGCATTTTCCGTCGGTGCAGTGCGTTTTCAATCGGGATGGTGCGCTTTCCGTCTTGGGGGATACCAAAAACATTAACATGATGAGTAAGGCACACGGTGCGCCTGAGGATATCCTCGCAATATCGAACATCCCCATCAGTTCTCCGAAGGGTTTGAGGGTGAGGAGGCGGCGCGGGGGGAAACGCGCGGAAAAAGGAGCGGGCGCATGGTTGTTGTTACGCAGGCGCTGGCCCAAGAGGATTGCTCGCCTCTGTTCGAGCAAAATATGTTAGACCCATGTCCAAGCGTCGTCGGCTCGCGGAACTGGTTGGCACCAAGTGCGTTACCGCGTCTGCCCTGCGCGCGATGCTCTTGTTAGCTTTGCGACGTGCCTGGGGGAACTCTTGTTGTTGCGTTTTCAATCGGGATGGCGCATTTTCTGACGGGATGGTGCGTTTTCCGTCGGGACAGAGCATTTTCAATCGGGATGGTGCATTTTCCGCTTGTACTGGAAACTAATAAGCAATTCTACAGAAACTTATAAGTCCAAAGAAGACTTGGTAAGACCCCAGCTGCTCTTCTTCAAGGGGAAGAAGGGTAGCAACCTGGGTACCTTTTTCCCCTTTCTGGGGCCCAGCGAAGCCCAGCGAGGGCTCTCGGAGGCCGAACATAGCAAGATTTGTATGACTCGAGGGGGTCTGGGTCTCCCCCTCCCCAGACATGCGACGTCCTGATTTTTGTCAGTTCGGGGCCCGTGGAGGTCCCGACCCTTACCCTGGGACCGGTTTTTCATCCTGGATCATGTTTTGACGGTCCCGAAGCCCGGCGAGGACCCCCAGAAACCGAAATGGGTCAAAAACCTCCCGTCCTGGCGGCCATGCCTGGGTTCATGTCGACGGGGTCTTGGGGAAACCAAGCAGTACCGATACCGCTACTCCCCGGACCCCTTCCGGGGTGAGTTCTGACCAGAATTTCGAAGCAGATCCAGCGGTGGCGACGACAGCCTCCCAGAAGGCCCAAAAAGGGCAAACGGGCGAAGGGTAGAGGCCTGGGGCCTCCCCCCCCACGAGGCGTGGATCTTCTCGACCCGCGCGCGGGGCCTCGCCGCCCGCCGGGCCGCCGCGCGGCGGCGCGGGCTCGGGCTCGGGCTCGGTTTCGCCCGAGGGGCGGCCAGCGGGCGCCTGCGGGCCGCTCCTCCTCCTCCTCCTCCTCCTCCTCCTCCTCCTCCTCCTCCTCTCTCTCCTCCTCCTCCTGCTCCTCCTCCTCCCCCTCTTCCTCCCCCTCTTCCTCCTCCTCCCCCTCCTCTTCCCTCCTCCTCTCCCTCCTCCTCCCCCCTCTCCCTCCTCCTCCTCCCCTCCTCCTCCCTCCTCCTCCTCCCCCTCCTCCTCCTCCCTCCTCCTCTCCTTTCCCTCCTCCCTCCTCCTCCTTCCCTCCTCCTCCTCCTCCTCCTCCCTCCTCCTCCCTCCTCCTCCTCCTCCTCCTCCTCCTCCTCCTCCTCCTCCTCCTCCTCCTCCCCCTCCTCCTCCTCCTCCTCCTCCCTCCTCCTCCCTCCTCCTCCTAGGCGCCGAGCGGGCCCTGCGGCCCCGCCCGGGCCGCGCGGCCACCGCGCCGGGCAGCGGGCGCAGCGCGGGGGCCTCGAGCGCAGGGAGCCTACGAAGGACGTAATTACGCGCCCAACCTCGTACTAACTACACCCGAGCCGGGGGTGTTCGCGTGTTTTCGGGCCCGGGGGGACCCTCGCAGATCGATCTGGCTCGACATGTGACGCAGAAAGATGGCGTCCAGGGCTGTGGGCGCGATTTTTGAAATGTTGTATTTTTTTCGCTGCAATTGGGGCCCAACCACAAGAAACCTCCCACGAGAAACCCAACCCTGAGACCCCAGGACATCCATTGATTTTTGGTGTGGGAACGTCACGCTTTCCATGTCAAGGTCATCGAAACCCAAGAATCCCAGGGCACCCTGGAGGCAAGCAGGGTGTTTCTTGGCATGGGCTTCCACTGCACGTCAGGGAATACGGCCCCCCAGCCGCGAGACCAGCCTCGTGATACGAACGGACGGCCTCGTGGTACGATCGGAACGCCAGAGGCGCCGCTGGGGGGGGGCCAGCGCCGATCCAAGACATCCGCAAGGACGTCCGAGAAATTGTGTCTATGCCGTTCCCTGTTTTGGAGCGCGCGCAAGGGTAGGGGGAGTGGGGAAGGCCTCTTAGAATGGGGCTGCTTCATGGGCGGCGCCGGCCCCAAATCTACAGACAAGGCCCGCGCCTTCTGAGAATCAGGGGCGCTTCTAAGAAGCCTTCCCCCCTCCCCCTCTGTACCCTCTTTGCACGTGGCCGAGAAGCTCTCGCGTCAGAGGTGGGCGTTGCACAATTGTCGCCACGGACGTTGTCGAGCAACCGTTGGGCCCAGGGACCCCCGCAAATTGAGCCGGCTCGAGGGCTGGCGCAGGAAAAGTGGGCCCAGGGCTCCTGTGGTGGTTTCTTGCAGTGTTGTAGGCGTCCTGTAATGGGACGCACAGAGACATACTAGTACCATATGTGCTCCTTGGAGGCGCGCGTCCGACCCGAGCATATAGTATTTCCATCCTGTAGTAGATCGTTTCCCGAGAGGCGTGGCCAGAAAGCGCCCGCCACAACGCATGTACTATAAGATTTCTCGGTGCGCGCGTCGTCCCTGTGGGGTGGCGACGCACATATAGTATAAGTATGCTGGGGTGACGCCGATGTAACGTCAGATCTGGGGGCCGCGTCGTGAAAAACGCAGGGATGGAAAGCATCACAGGAGGGTGTACCGCTCGAGGTCCCAAGTCTTCGGGCGTTTTCGTGTGCTCTCGGCGGTTCTCCGGCCTCGGCGTGGTGCGGCACCTCGCCGAGGGGTGCCAGCATCGTTCCGAAAGGCCGCTGGAGAGCCGAATCATGACATGCTCGCGTAGTGAGAAAATCAGAGTGGGAAGGTTTTCTGTCCGTGTTCGGCCCCTGAATTTGTACAACAAGCTTGGAAAATTACAGCGGCCGATTGTGGGCCATTTTCGGTCCCTGGGGACCGTCAAACCATGAAATGTGGTCCAGACCTCTGGGGTCCACACATAGAAAAAATTGGAGCGCCAGATGTCTGTGAAGGTCGCGTTGCAAATTTGCGGGTCAGATTGTAAAACACTGGAACGGATGCAAAACCCTGAGCTCCGAACGTTGCAATTGTTTCACACCAGGCCTCTTCGCCCAATTTCGGGGTCCTGGACCCTCACAGATCGACCCGGCTCGAAACATGCCGCAGAGCAGAAAAGCTCGGTCGAGGGCTCTGGTCGTGATTCTTCGCGATGTCGCATGTTCTACGCAACGTCGTATCTCAGTGTAGACACATACGAAGAGCAGTCTCGGTGTACGAAGCCCAGAAGTACGTCTGTCGTCGGT